ACATATCATTTGATCACGCACTGCAACAGTCTTTTTTTTTTCTTTTTTCTTTTTTTTTTACTTCCTCTATTTCCCTCGTTTTTTTCCCGATTCGATTTTACGCTCCGTTTATACGAATTCTCACGTCTGACCTGTGACTCACTAGGTCAAGTTAAGAATGTCGACTTTATTTTTGAAAACATATTCTTTTAATTTTGAATCTTAGCTTTCCGTGACTGCTAGACCAGCTTTTCAGAATTCAAATTTCGCGCCAGATTTCATCATCGATTTTTCTCGCCGGTTGGTGCTTCCCTCTGGTGTGTGGAGCGCGAACTAACCGTTCATCCTTCACGCTTGTGTATGTTCATCCTACTCGGATCCTGCGCGCTCAGTTCAAACTATACTTTTCTTCTGTTCTTTTCTGTTTTCGCCTTCTTCGCTTTCTCTTTTTCTTATTATTCTCATTATCTTTTGCTTTTTATATTTTGTTCTTTATCTTCTGCATGCTTCTTCGCCTTTCTTTATTTTCTTCGTTTTTTCTGCTATTTTGCTTTTCATATTTCCTTTGACTCTTGATTTTCCTATCTTTTTGATTATCATGATTGCCATTATTATTGTCATTATTATTTTCATTATCATTATCATTACTATTATTATTATTGTCATTATTGTTACCATCGTTATTATTGTCATTATCGTCATCATTGTTATTATTATTATTGTTGTTATTATTGTCATCATCGTTATTATTGTTATTATTATTATTATTGTTGTTATGATTATTGTTATGATTATTATTGTCATTATTATTATCATTATTATTATTATTATCATTATTACTATTATTATTATTGTCACTGTTGTTGTTGTTGTTATCATGATCATTATTATTTTTCATTATCATTGTTATTGCATTTATTATCATTCCTATTATCACCATTACTATTACTACTACTACTATGAATATTATTTTTTTATTATTATATTTTTTTATCGCTAAACTTATTAAACAATTATTGATATAATTTCCCTTACTATTATCATCATCATTTTTTATAATTCTATCACCTAGATTATCATTACTATTACGGTTGTTTTTTCGTCATTGTGATTATCAATGTTTTCCGTATTATCATCATCCTCATTATTGTTATTACTGTTAAAATTATTGTTGCTGTTTTTGTTGCTATTGTTGCTGTTACTGTTACTGTTATTATTATTATATATTAGCATTATGTTTAATAGTAGTACCATATTACCAACATTATCATCGTAACTTTATTATTTTTTAATTCTTGAAAATCGTGCCATGGAATGAAAATACGAAACACTTTACAATATATAGAAAATATTTATTAACTTCCTCCTTTTGATTTAGACTTCTTATAAATGAAATGGGCTAATTTTCGTGCTTAGGATGATAACTAATCAAAAAAGACTTTTTAAATATCTCAAAAGTGTACTGAAATATCTCGAAATATATCAAAAGCGCAATATATACGAGTTTACCTTTCACATAAAAAATAATTTCGTTTTCTGTCGGTATGTTTATTTTACAGAAAATGTTTTTAGGGGTAGCTAATAAAATCTTAAATAGTTATTAATTACCTTACGTGCATTCAATTATCATCTCATACGAAGTGAATAATGGTGTTTATTGGTTAGTCTTATTGAAGAACAAAGACGTCCTAACACTATGTTTATATACATATCTTACATATAGCAACTGGTTAATACAATTAATAAAATAACATGAACACACAAAATGAAGTTGAAAAAGATGGATGGACACACACAAAAAAAAAAACAAGTTGGTTATAGACCGATAAGTGGCAGGTACTAAACGATCCCAATGGGATGTGAGACTTCATTACCCTACCATACGTATCTCATTACTTCAAGGATACCAAAGAAAAGTATCCCTCATTACGAACATGTCAAGCTTTTCCTCTCCACATTACACAATATATACACTCAACATTCACCCAACAAATAAGTTTACTTTGAATAGAAAAATAAAAAACACTTAACAATATACTTTAAATAAAGAATAAATAAAACACACTTAACAAATATGTAACACTAGACATATTCTACAAGGACCTGGCGCTTCACCCAAGTCCTACAGAACCGCGGAAGGGCAACCACAGCAGCTCCAGTTAGGGATGGAGAACAGGTAGCGCTGTGTCCAAAAAGGGCACCATGGACTCGAGCTCCGGCCTCCTGAAGCGGCGTCGGTTGGAGGGCGCCACCAGGTCCAGCTCGTCGATGTCCTTCGGGTTGACCACACGCAGGACGTCGATTCCCGGTGGCTTGTAGGGACTGTTTGGAATGCAGGATGTTTTAGTAGTGATGTGGACTGTCTATTTTTTTTTCTCTCTATGTGCGTGATGGTAGTTGGTCGCGTACTGGCAGGGGATGCCGTTGTGCTGTTTTTGTGCAGGTTTGTGTTGTGTTTGTATGGCTGTGTTTGTGTGGCTGTGTTTGTTTTGTTGTTGTTTTATGTGGTTGTGGCGCTAGGTGGATGGCAGGTTTGTATGTGAGGTGGATGAAATGCGACCTAAAACCAACACATATTTCAACAATCAACCACGTACATAGCTCTTACACACGACAAACACACATATACAAAACAAAACGAAAAACATAAAGCAATACACCAACACGCAAAACACAAAAATCTAAAAAAATAACAATAATAATAAATAAATAAAAATAAAATAAAAAATAAATAAAGCGTAAAAATACAAAGAAACATTACCTATAGTCGCTGTAAGGATATCCAATGACCATTACTTGCGTCTCGTAGAAATAGAACCAGAAGAGACCGCGATGCATGGCTCTTATGTCCTGGTCCCAGACGCCCAGGCACTGAGAGGGGGAGGAGGGAAACGATGTGATAAACGAGTAAATAGGAGGAATGAGAGAATAGAACACCTGTAATGGGATAAACAGAGTCCGGAATAGGATTCATAAGCGGATAATAAAAAGGAATAAGGAAATATGATAAAGAGGCGAATAATAAAAAGTGTAAAAATACAGGAATAGGTTACAAATATAATAATGCGACTAGAAGGTAATAGGATTCATAAATTGATACTAAAGAAGAATCAAGAAGAAAAGACTTCACACGAGGGCGCTAAAAAATATAGATTTTTTTGAATTTAACAAAAATTTAGAACAACTGGTCCGACGATTATAACATTGATTAACATACTGTACCATATCAAAAACAATAAAATCAAATCAAAATCAAATAAAGAGAAATAAAAAATAAAATCCTTGTCCTTGCCATGCTACAGAATATCATTAAAATCTACCCACTTCCCAATCTACTGCATTACCAAAAATAGGATCAGCAGGTCCATAGTCAACCAATTAACAGAACAACCAGCCAGGTAATCATAACACTAAGAAATGAACAAAGAAACCAACCAGTTACCAAACAAACGAAACCCAATTAAGCATGAAACCTGCTAGTTAACGAAGAAATAATTCAATCATAAAACCATTTTTTAATACAACCAATCAACAAAGAATTCAGCCATTTACCAATGAAGAAAACCAGTTAACCAAGAAATTAATATATTAACCATGATATTCAGTTAAATAAGAAAACAATATATCATGATAGAAATTAACCACGAAAAGAAAAACATTAACGTGAAAACAATTTAAAGAACACAACCAATAAGTAAAAAAACAGCCGATTATCCAGAACAACCAACTAGCCAATTAACTAAGAAAATTCCCACTTATCCAAAATGAACAACCAATTAACCAAGAAAACAGCCACTAAACCATGAAAGCAATTTCCGAAACTCATTCAACCAAGTAAACAATCGCTTTACAAAAAAAATATACATATAGCAAACAAGAAAATCGATTAATGGGAATGCAACCAATCAACAAAGAAAGCCGATTAACCAGAAAGACAATCACCTGACCAATCAGCCAAGAAAACAACCACTTAACCAGGAAAACAACCAATCGGCCAAGAAAACAACCACTTAACCAGGAAAACAACCAATCAGCCAAGAAAACAACCAATTATCGCAACCTCCCCTCCGGACGGAAAAAAATCAGAGTAAAGGAGAACAAGAGAGAGAGAGGGGGGAAGGGGGGGGGAGAGAGAGAGAGAGAGAGAGAGAGAGAGAGAGAGAGAGAGAGAGAGAGAGAGAGAGAGAGAGAGAGAGAGAGAGAGAGAGAGAGAGAGACTGAGAGACTCACCCTGGCGAAGTATTTCCAGGCCAAGTAGTCGATGCCGGTGATCATCTCGATGAAGATCACGACCGGTTTTTCCTGGTAGGAGAGGGAAAAGGATGGAACGCGATAAGAAAAGGAAAAATACTCGTTGATGTGGATTCTAAACTTGCCCCTTTCGTTCGGATGGAGAAGGGAATGAAAGGGGTTTGTCAATTAGGTATGATGGTCAAGCTTGATATATGATTATATACAACTGTATGAACATGTAATTATATATAAACAACTCGCACGTACACGCAAGCATACACACACACACACACACACACACAATATATAAATAGCTATTTTCCGTCACGACACCCATATGAAGAATATAGTATATACATCTACATATATATAAATAAGAAATATATATATACATACAAATATATATGTACACGTATATATAAAAAATAAATATATATAAATATAGTTAGATAGATAGATAGATAGATAGATAAATAGAAAGATACACGGACAGGTACACATAAATGCACATGCAAACATACCTATACACACACAAATGTATAAACACACACGACGCCCACAGACAAATAGACAAACATTCAAACAAACACAAGCACTGAGACAAAGATAAAGTTCACCCATGAACCCTACTTACCGTGATATTACGAGGCAAGTAATGTTCGTTACAAGGGTGGAGTTTTGTGTCGAGGAAAAGAGGGTCGTCCTCGAGCAGCGAGTAGATGTCCTCTTCATATTTCTCGAAAGTCAGTCTGTTTTTTTGTTTTTTTTTTGGGGGGGAGGGGGAGAGG